GGCTCTCATGAATGCTGAACGCAGCCGCCAAGGGGATGGCTAGCGCGTATATGGTGTTGCCAGACGTATCCCGCAGATACGGGGTATAATGAAAGAAGAAGATGAAGACCCGTGCATAGACGAAGCTGTCCAACGCATAAACCGAGAGCCGATGGAGGTCGGGGCTCTGGAGCAGGTAGGCGAGCATACATACGACGGGGCGCAGGATGGCTCCTGCTTGGTAGGGAGGTCGTGTAGTCTGGGGGTCGCCGCGCCGGAGTGTCTTCACCAGCTGAAGACTGGTGGCTGACCAGACTAGGCAGGAAACCACATCCAGTGAGCTGGGAAGGATCCTATCATGGCCTAGCTGGACGCGACGGAGGCGGTACTCGAAGACCTCAAAGAGCCCTGTGCCGATGTGCAGGGAGAGACAGAGTTTATGCTTGGAGAACTTCACGTGATAGCTGGGAGCGTGATATTGCGAGTGGTAGAAGATGATCACCACATAGAGGAGGGTATGTTGGAGCAAGTCGATCTGCTCTGGGTGCTGGGGAATCTCCGATAAACTACTAGGCATCATGGCTGCGGGTATACTGGTTGAAGAGCCGGGTTCGGACGTAGTGGGATCATGCGCATAGAGCATACGACCATGCCGCAGCTGAGGGAGGTGAAGCCGTCCTTCTTATTGTCCTTGCACATGCTCTAGCCTGCTAATCGACTCTGACCTTGAGTTAAGGTAGACCTATGATCGACTGTGTCGTCATGCTGGAGCCCAAACGTGCTTGCAACCGACCCCTGTGCTCCACGGTTAGACTTATGCTTAAACCAGACCGTTACCAAATTGGGGTAGGAACATCAGGGAGAGATTTCTCGGAAGAGGGGCCCGAGAGACAGTGTTTTGCCTCGTGGTGGGGTGGTTGTTGTATCAAGATTGTGCCATCCAAAAACAGGAAACCGATGCTTTTATCTGCGTCGGGGTAGTTATCCCTGCTACAACACATCAGGTATCTAGGTTCATACTAACTTCCGATACACAACGCTTCTTCTGAACGAGACTACTTTTCACTGGTTGGTTCTTCGTGCCAGGTCCATCACGTTTCAGGATTTTCCCTGGCCAAAGAACTCACAAGAGTAGAGTCCATATGCTCCGATTTATGTATCCCCTTGTGTGGATGATTGACCTTGGATGACCGACGGTTCGATGGAGCTTCCTCCTCTTCTAGGGAAATAGAACCTGGAATTAATCAATCACGGGAAGATGGTCGGTGGTGTTTTTGTCTGATGTCTGTACCATTCTCACCATCAAGTACCTAGTAGTATGTTGGAACCGGGCAATTCGGAGATCCATGATGATACAGTGAGGCCTTTGGAATTGCTCATATGTGTCGTCGTATGCGGGATTGAAGTTCAGGGTTTCAGAAATCCCAGGAAGTGAAATAGATGAACAGTTCAGAATCCCTGCTTTGGTCTACACATTGCAAGGTATGGAGGAAGGATGGAAAAGCCCAGTTGGTACCGAAGCTAATTCGGTGCGTGTTCAGTGAGCAACCAGTGAGTCTCCCAAAAGCAGCGGCAGTCTTGCAGTGAGTGCACATGGCCGCCACACCAGCTGAGCCCTCAGCTCGGACCCTGCCCAGCCTTGATAATCTTCCCCCCTCCAATCGATTGTTCTCCCCCTTTTTCCGAATACACCGAACCAGTTGGTTACACTTCAGCGTCGCACTGTGCCAGGTTGATCGGCTAAATTGACCACCTGCCGTGTGACTTTCGACAGACTACTATGGTTAATTGTCAAGAGGAGCATCCGATACCATATCAAGTGCCTGTGGTCTCGTGTCCAAGGTCATTTTTATCACTTAAGTTACTGCTTACAGACCGGAGATACACGGGAATAGAACTAGACCAGCCCATCTCGCCCTTCCACTTCAACCTTTTTTTACACCACACCTCCCACATTGTCATTCTTTGCATAGGCTACCTGGTAAACTCTGTACCAGGGCCGCTGGAACAAACTATCCAGTGACTCCAAAGATCGTCCGGTGGTATCCTGAACAAACTTAGTCACTCCGCCCGCGTGGAATCCTCAAGGGGACACTTACCGGCATCGCAAAGAACACATAAATCAGCGAAACAAAACAGATGCAAGCGAAGAAGGCGAATGCGCCCCATTCTTGCATCACTTCCAGCATATCAGGAGTTGCCCGAGAACATCCGAAGAAGAACACCCAGTGAAAGGCCATGCCCATCGAAACAGCCAGCGATCGGATGCGGATTGGGTACACTTCTGCCCCGATAAGATACGGCATGCCATGCCACCCGATGTTCCACCCCACCCCATGGATAAAGATAGCTGCCACAGCCCCCGTCGAGGCTCGAGATACGCTCGGGGTGTTGGCGATGTGGGCCGCGGTCATCGTGCGAGCTATGCCAAGATAGCACGCCAGGTAGACCAAGGTGGTCGTTTGAAGCGTGATTCCCGTCATGAGAGACCTCCGACGTCCGATGAAATCAATCACCAGCAACGAGAAGATCAGGCAGCTGACAAACTTGACTACAGCGTAGAACCCGGTCGCTAGCGAGGCGGTCTCACTCGGCATACTCAAGTAGCCGAAGATCGTGGGGAGATATTGAGTGATCGCACTGGCGCCCGACCATTGAGAGAATAGGTGCGCCATGAAGACAAGCAGGAAGCGACGTCGATTCTCGACTGGAAGTAACACTTCTTTCACCAGGTCCCACTGCGTCGCTCCCACGACAGCCTCCCGCTCGTACAAGATCTGCGATTCCATGATCTGGATGTCGGAAATCACTTCGGCATGACCATTGGGCAAGCCGCGGAGTCGGGATACCGTGGCAATGGCTTGTTCGCGCCGGCCGACGTATAGTAACCATCGAGGAGATTCCACACATAAAAACGTCCCAAACCCCCAGATCACCGCCGGTACCAGCTGGAGGAATGTAGGAACCATCCATTGCAGGTCTTCTCCGTCATACGCCTTGGTGATGCCATAGTTGATGAAGAAGCCGAAAACAGAACCCAGCTGTTGGCAAGTCGAGTACTGAATAGCGAGAAGCCCGCGAATCCTTTTCGGTGCAATCTAGATGCCTGATAAGCCGACACGCCCCCTCTCCATGTCGATGAAGATGGATTACCTCCGAAATATACATCGAAGGAACGATAGTGATTCCGCCACCACCAAACCCAGCGATGAACCTGGATGCGTAAAAGGCTGACAGGTTGCCTTTGCTGAGCGCCTGTCCGGCGACTCCTGCTGCATAGATCAACGTTGACAGACGCAAGCTCCATTTTCGTCCCAAGCGGTCATTGACTGGCAGGCACTTTTGGGACTCCGTTAGCAAGTCAGGTATTCATGGACTGTTGGAATTTGGCTTACAGCCAGACAGCCAAAGATAGCCCCAGCCGTGAAAATCGACACAATCCACCCTTTCGTGTTGGCATATTCGTCTGGTGACTGTCTATCGATCCCAAAGGCGACGCGGAACTGGGACTGTACCACAAGACATGCGATGTTCGCTGCTGGATTAGATGTTTGATGGCTTGGACGGTGGAGTTTTGCCTCTCACCTTCATCAAAACCCTTACATATCCCTGCCAAAGCAAAAATGATTGCATTCATCAACAGATAAGAGTTGAGGGACCATTTCGGAGGCTCCTTTGGAGGCTGGCTTATTTCTGTAATGAGCCCCATGGTTGCCCTTCAATACTCACTCACTTTCGCCGCGGTCCTCCCAGACACAATATATACAATCCTATCCTTTCCAAGGGAGGGACAGGGCTGTAAGTATCCTTGGCATAAATGGCGCACGAATGTAGCGCGACGACAATATCTCATGACTACATCTCATGCGTCCGAGGCAAGGAGTCGTCCCTCACGTACAATTGTGGCCATTTTCTTCCCAGAGGTTATATCAGCCGGCAGGTAGCTGCAAAGCGAATGATAAGGCTTTCTCAAAGCACCTGTCTTCGAACGCACTGGAGTTAACCTTGCCAACATTCCTCCTGAACATGAGCAAAGGCTCGCGCATACCTGTCGATAGCGCTGCATCTGCCAGGAATCGATGATTTGCAGGATGGCCCAGCTACTCAGCAGTTTCGACAATTTCAACCACTCCCGGATCAGTCGGCTACTATAGTAGATCAGGTTGCATTGCAGCATCTCAGTAGCAGCGCATGTGAGAATTCGGAGCTGACCACGACTCGAAAAGAACCGACCCATATATGCTAGGGGCTCGAGGTCTCGATCGCCTGGACTTGACACGACTTCTCGTCTTACTCCTATTCCTAGCATTCTGCATCTATTTATCTCGAGCTTATTACTTCTGCTGCTTGACTTATCCGGAGCTCGAGTTATCCGGAGCTCGCCGTTTTGAGGCTTTTACTGCTTCGACTGCGATTTCAGGGCCTCCAGGAGCCGAACTCGACGGGCCATGCGCACTTTGGTTTCAATTTCGTAACTCTATGGTCACTAGGGATATGCGAGCAACCTCGAGCAAAATCATGTTAGAAATGCTATTCTCGCTTTTTCCTCCCCACTGAGCGGAGAATTTCCACGGTCGTTTCATGTGATGCCTCATTCTCGATTTTATGGGCCCTGGGAAGCCCGTTCACTACAAAACTAACCGATGACACGGAGGTTCACCATTGAATGAACAGTCTCTGCTTACTCGGTTGTGTCCCCGAGAAGCTTATTAAGAATGACTTCTCACGCACGACCTAAGAATGGTACACCATGTATGATGTGGACGGATCGATGGAAATGGGCGGACTGAACAGATCAGAGCTGAGAACCCTTATCATGTGCCACAAGATGAATAACTGCCATTACTACGGAGAACTTCATATAACTATACTCGATCGAGAGCCCGACAGTCCACGGCTCAAAGTTTAGCCAATAGACGGCGCTGAAGCTTTGATTGATTAAAAATCGAGACCCTGAAAATGTACCCACTATGACGTCCCACTCTTGAGGTGGATGTCTTCAAAATACCCCGTTTAACCCTCAACAACACAATCCCGACTCACAGTTACTACCTACTATTTTGTTGACAAGGAGAAGTCATCTCTCAATATGTCGCTGCAAGGACTTAATGTGCTCATTGTGCGTGACAATCTCCTATTCCCCAACGTGGTCGAAGCTAACATAGCTGCAGACTGGAGCTTCGATGGGCATTGGCGAGGCGATGGCCAATTCAGTAGCCGAACAGGGTGCCAATTTGATTCTGTTTGCACGGTCGGAAGTAAGAAGATTCGTGGTAGTTACCACGACAAGACATACAAACCATACTAAAACATTACTAGGACAAACTCCAAGCCCTCGCGAGCAGGATCCAAGAACACCACCCAGGTGTCAAAATCATCAGCAAAGCAGTCGACATCCAATCTTACGAAGCAGTCGAGTCCGCGGTGAAATCCAGTACCCAGGAGCTCAATCAGATCGACATTCTCATCAACAATGTCCTGAAACCCTCTTCCATGCTACCACACAGCAAAACATGACTGACCCCAACCAAAATAGGCCGGCCTCGCCCTCGGCGCGCCCGCGCCCTTCCACGAGCTCAAAATCGCCGACATCCTCACCATGAACCACACCAACATCAACGGCTGGATGTTCGTCACGCACGCCGTGCTGAACGCCTCCATGATCCCCCGCAAAGCCGGCACGATCCTCAACATCACCTCTGTCACGGGGCTGGAGGTCCCGCCCTTCTCCGGGGAGTGCGTCTACCACACCAACAAGGCCGCGCAGGAGGGGTTCACGAACGCGCTCCGCAATGAACTGAGTGGCACGAACATCCGGGTGCTGGCGCTGCGGCCGGGGTGTGTGGCCACGAATTTCCACTCGCTGCGCGTGGGGCATGATAAGGAGATGTACGATCGGTTTTTCGAGGGGTATCAGTATGTTGTTCCCTGACTGGTGGGTTCGAGGAGGCGGTTGGGGCTCCTTAGAGCGTTGTGCTGATCTGAGACTCTAGGCCTCTGGTGTCGGAGGATATTGCACGCGCAGCGGTGTTCATGTTGCAGCAGCCGGTGCATGCGTCGGTTAAGGCGCTGGATATTGTTCCGTCGGGTGAGTCGATCTGGAGAGTCATTTACAGGAGTTGAGAGGTGCTGACATGTGTTTTGTAGCTCAACGGTCGCTGAATGTGTTTGACCGGGAGTGGAATCAAAGGAATGCTTGATTCGGTATGGGCAAGCCATTATCTATACGGTCAGACGACCAGAATGATCGAGCTCAAGCAAGCGGTAAAGATGGCGAGAACGTGCAGCGCGTGGGAGGCAAACGAAGCTACACCAGACTTCTTTCGCGTGCAACATACAAAGAACCCCTATCAGGCAATTATCATCGCAATTCTAGGCTCGACTTTGCATACATGATCTTATATAGGATGGTGGTGAACCAGCCCAACTGTCACAATTGATCTCCGATCATCGGAGATTACTCTAGAATCCAGCTTAACTTGTGCAGCACGTGTGTGCAAGCAAGGGGCTCGAATGACATCACAAGTGCATATCATCTCCACGTCTTGGAGAGCCGGGAATTGAGTTCTGGGCTCCGATGAATGTTTCTTACGGAGAAACCTTTTTCTCTTGACCACGATTGCAATGCAAGTTCGAGAGATGGGAGGTATATCATGGGAATTAGTGTAAAGGCCGTGCCGGAATAGGTGATTGTACTGGACTTCTGGCTGCTGTAATGAGGAATTTTCCTATGCGGTATAGTCCGAAAGGCAACTGAGCTGTGGGATACCAGTGAGTCAATCACAGATGTCGAGAACAATTGCAGTAGACATCCGGGATACTTAGTAGTGGCACTCTGTTGATTCCCCACTTGGCTCCAAGGAAGAACTTAGCATACTAGGCGCAACTCGGCCCAATCCCATCCCCCCCACCGAGAAGCCGCTCCGTAATTTGTTCTCCGCGTTCCCACTGGCAACTTTCCCCGCAAACCATTCCGAGCCGGAGAAATCCCCAACTTACATCTTCAGGCTGGCTGGCATTCACAATCATGAGTGAGAGGATCTCGGAATTACGCTTCCGGTCGGGGAATGCCCCTCCGCGCTTCTTCAAAGCATGTCGCTGGTGCAGGAAACAGAAAATGCGTTGCGACGCCCGCAGTCAGGTCCCCTGTGCGCGCTGTCGCAGCGCGGGTCGCGACTGTGTTCTCGATCCCATCGTGGATGGAAGGCGGCGCAGTCAGCGCCACGAGTCTCCCCGACCCTCTCGGTAGGTGGAATCGGAAATGTATCCGACGCACTACTATACTGGGCTGACTCCATGTCATGTGTAGACGGCAGATCGCAAGATCCCCGTGGAATGAACCGACCGGGTTCAACACACCCTCGACCCGCGAGCCAGAATATTCGCCTGGCCCGGTCGTACAGGAGAATCCGCTGGACAGCGCGCTCGACTCCCTGCCTGACTCTGGGGACCTCCGCTCACCAGGCGCCTCCGAGAAACACGGTCAGGACAGCAGCCAGCAGTTGAGTCCCAACGATATGATTGCCCCCGTCTCGGTCGTACACTCCATGTCGGTGAATCTGCTCGGGTCCAGCAGTGTAAGTCGCGCTCATAGTACAGAGCACATGTCGCTAAACGCGCCAGCAGATCTTCATGGATAGTTCGAACAAGGCCGATCTGAGAAGTGATATCATCGCTCGAGGCATCATCAGCGAGGAGCAGGCACGGTCGATGTATGAACGGTCGGTAGAATAGCATTCACTCAAGCACTCTCGAGCAAGGACAACGTTGACCCTCGAATCCAGGTTCTTCAACGGCAGTAAGAACTTCCTTGCCTTGTTCGACCCCATTCGGGACACCTTCGATTCGATCCGATCGCGCTCGCTCTTCTGCTTCTCGGTCATGATCTACATAGCCAGCCGGGCGGTTCTCGACCTCCGAAGCAACACCCACCTGCAGCGGGTACTACAGGATGAAGCACAGAGACTCGCCGAGGACAGTTTCTTCGAGCGACCGACCAAAGTCGAAACTGTCCAGGGGATGGTTCTCCTCGCAGCCTACTCGGAGAAAACCTGGTTCTCCACAGCGCTGATCCTACGCACTGCCCTTGACTCGGGGCTCGAGAAGTCGCTAGACACCTTGCTTTCACAACAGAATGTACCCCGGAGTGCGCTCTCCGCCACTCTGGAAGAGCGGAAGCTGGTGTGGCAGACTAGGACTTGGCTCATCAGTTTCACACTCGAACTGGATGTCGCGTCCGGCACAGGTCGGAAATCAAGAATCGACGCTGTCGATACTACGAAACTACGCAAGTTTCTCGATTACCCGCTTTCGTTGCCTTGCGATATGCGCACAATATGTATCATCGAGGTTCACCAGCTTCGGAGTAAGTGCACGCTTGACTAGATATTTCGGTCCATCTCTGATCTCGATAGGTCAATTCCGGATGATTGTTGAAAACTCGAAGACCATTCACGAAATAGTTGGCATCGAACTACCGGCTGTCATGGCAAGGTTACAGACATGGTGGAATACATGGGATGAGATTCATAATAGTAAGGCTTCATTTCCGTACCAACATGCTTGGAGATGCTGACCGAAGGTGTCTTCAAGATAATGGCTTTCATGCGGGCGCATTTCAACGCTGTAGTCTCAAGTTGATGCATAACTATGCTCGGATATTTGCATTTTGCGCATCGTTGGCGCGGATCCAAAAGCTACAGTGTGGCAGCACCGAATCGGACTCAGAAACAGATGATCCGGATGTTTCCCACTTATGGCGCTCGCTTGCCTCAGCAACCATGGACCAACTGGGTTTGATCATATCAGAAACATCCTACCGATGTCAATTGACATGGACTCCTACATATCCAGCTTTGACAATCGCATTTGTCAGTGAGTGGTCCCAACAGCCATAATCTTTGTTGTGCATGGTGACACCTAACATCTGACCCCATACAGCAACTTTCGCATTACGAATCGCAAGATGGAGGCCAGACTTGATTGATCAAGACCTGCTCCTTGAACGGGCCCAACTCATATGTGACCTTCTGAAGCAACCCCCCTACCCGGATATACACCGGACCGTGTCGATCTTTGTCAACTATGGTCGCGCGCTTGTCGCGAGCCAGCGCGGACAGGGCGACGATTGCTTCCATGTCCAGGAGGATAGTAGGCGTATGGATGAGCAGCTGGTTCCGAACAAGGATCTGAACGGCATGAAAGTACCTATGTCGTCTGCATCGGCACCGTCAGAGCAGCCCAGCTATGGAGCCACGGAGACAATTCACCAAGGTGTCAAAGACACTGACCTGCTTTCGATACCCAATACTGACAGATCTGCCCCTCCCAGGCAGTTTCCACCCCGGCCACCAGGACCAATGGAAGCTCCCAACTGGAATTTATGTCACCCGATTGCAGATTCGTTCGGTTTGTTCGAAGAAGAGCAGAATGACATATTCGACTTCCTCCCTGCGATGCCTTCTATGCCGCAATAACCGACAACATGAAACAGCATACTATGGCTAGCAGCACATTCCTAATGTGGGGGCAGGTGATGGTGATGCATGGGCGATAAAATGTGTGGCCCGCACAAAGACAGGTTCCCTGACACGTCTGTGGAAGCCACGCTTGTCGCGCAGTCGAAATTCACATGCGATAATCTGTATGTCGAGAGAAAGTCTAGAGTGGTATGCGAGTGAGAAGACAATTTTGCGACAAAGTTGCGGTGGGCTCGCCAACCGGACATGGGTCATGTCCCAGCCAATGCTGTAGAACGGGCTTGGGACTCTCTGCATAAGTGCCCTGGTGTCCGATGATCGTCCCTTGGAGTGGGCCATTAGCGTGCTGCATGACGGGCTCTTAAAATTCTGGACTCACGAAGTTCTAGACTGTGTTGCCAACATCAAACCTGTGAACCGGCTCCAGGTCGGGGCCGTTGTGTGGGCATCCCGCTGCACCGGGGCCGGACCGGGCCCGATCTGGCGATTGACAAGGTCCGAGTAAACAAGGTCTCCCATTGGGCATTCAAGACATACTCCAAGCCTAGAGTTCCATCAAAATGCCTCAATGCTTGCATAGTTACGTTGTTATCGTGACTCACTGATACCTCATCTCTGTAGGGTCCCACAGGTGACAAACCTATATAACGTTCGTTGTCCGCAATGGCGAAGAATGACGGTATACACAAATCAAATCGGATTCACTTGCATTGTTCGTTCTTGAAGTCGACTGCTCTTGTTATCACGAGAGACCATGGCTTCAGATTCAGTAGTCGAGGGTTCTGAACCCAGACTTGTTGCTGCAGGTAGGAGCTCGAAGCGCACCCTTGCAGAGTTCACTTCTCATGCGACATAACTAGCAGATGAAAAGCATATTAGGAACAATGGTCGAATTCTATCCGGCTTTTCAGAAGGTCCGAGTGCAAAGCTTACCGAGGGATATCAGTTGACCCAATTGATGGACGACCAAATCGTGGTAGATTTCGATCACAACTCGATAGCACATCCGACCAACTGGAGCCATGTATGTGTCTTGGGTGCAGTGCCCGCAGTGTCATCTTCCATGAGCTGACCGATAGCTTCAAACCAACAGGCCAAAAAAATATATACAGTCCTCGCGGCGTTGTTCCTTGTTCTGAATTCAGGAATATCGTCTTCCTTGCCTAGCAATGTGGTCCCGTATATCATGGAAGATTTTGGCGTGGATGGCGGGTCGCAAAAGGTGCTGCCAACGGGAGTTTTTCTCATCGGATATGTCGTCGGTCCCCTGGGATTCAGTCCGCTGAGTGAAACCATTGGACGAAAGTCCGTCCTACTTGGAAGCTTTACAGTCTTTGTTCTAGCGACACTTGCCTGTGCTTTCGCTCCGAATTGGTCATCGCTATTGATCTTCCGGTTCATATGTGGTGCGATGGGTGCTGCACCGCAGACCGTTGTTGGTGGTGTTTATGCGGACATGTTCTCGAACCCTCGGAACCGTGGCCGTGTGATGACCTTTTATATGTCTGTATGTTGATCGGGCACCACTTGCTGGGTTTAATTGGACATAAAGTAACCGAGAGAAACAGGCTGCAAGCTTCGGGCCGATTGTGGGACCAATCATGTCGGGGTGCAGCGCACAATATGGTTGGCGCTGGACCTTTCGCATCGACTTGATACTGGCTGGAAGTTGCTGGATCGGGGCGCTATTTCTTCCGGGTGCGTTTCCAGTGATATGTCTTGTGACAGACTTTGTGCATACTGACAGGCTGTTGAGCAGAGACTTTTGCGCGTGTCATTCTCCAAAAGAAAGTGAAGGAGTTGAACAGCACCTTCAAGACAGACAGCTACATCTCCCAGCTGGAATTGAAAAAGGTGGAAGTGAATTCCAGCCTTCTTGAGATCTTCACCAGACCTATCACTATGATCATCTTCGAGCCTATTATCCTGTTCAGTGCTCTTTATATTTCATTCGCCTATGCTCTCATTTTCTTTTGCTTTGCAGCCTACCCGATCATTTTTGAAGGTAAAGCACTTCGAAGTATCTTTTTCCTTTCGATAAGTGGTATAATGACGAGGCGATACAGGGACCTATGGCTTTAATGTGCAGCAGACTTCGCTCTGCTTTCTACCCAGTATGATTCGCAAGTCCCCACCTATGCTTACGGTGCTAATAAAAAATACAGTTGGCATCGGCGCGGCCTCATCCGGCCTCATCTCTCTTTACTACGACATCTATTACGAAAAAGCCAAAGCCCAGGGCAAGAAGTGGACGACGATCCCGGAGTACCAGCGCCTGCCGATCTGCCTGATCGGTGGCCCCTGTCTCACCATCAGTCTTTTCTGGCTTGCTTGGACGGCCGACCGCCACGTCTACTGGCTGGTCCCGGTGCTTTCCGGGTTGTTCTTCGGCGTCGGCTATCAGATCCTCTTCATCTCGCTCCTGACGTATGTCACCGACGCGTACAAGATCTACTCCGCGAGCGCGCTGTCTGCCTCGCTCATCACCAGAAGTATCCTCGGTGCAGTGTTCCCGCTGGCGGCCGACCCCATGTACTCTGCATTGAGCGTGGGGTGGGCGACGTCGATCCTGGGATTCGCGAGTCTGGCGTGTATCCCCATTCCGGTGATGTTCATATATAAGGGGGAGTGGATTCGGAGGAAGAGTCCGTTCTGTCAGCGGTTGATGGAGGATGAGAGGAGGCGCAAGGAGGAAATGATGGCGACTAGGCCTGCTACTCCTGTGGAGGTGGTTTAGTGGATGGAGGGACATGATGCTATGATGTTATGAAGCTTAGATCTGGAGATGATTGATAGAGTAATGCTTAATGACGAATGATAGAGTGGCAAAATAGATTGTGGGTTCAGTGACTGAGTTGCTTGCGATAGTAAAGCAGAGAAAGGACACCTTCGAGCTGTAATGACATTCAGGCAATGACTTGCCCGAGGATTGAGGCTGGCAAGAGAAGAAGGACTCGAAAAGGGCTTAGCGTGCAGCCGGATGCCATCCTTCTCTCTTGATCATCGCATGCACTTCTAATTTTCATTCGATCCTTCAATCATCTTCAGCGGGTCTTTCCGATTCGCTTCTCCGTGGTGTTGCTCCAATGACAAGTGGAAGCAGGAATCAAGCACCGGCCATTATACTTACTTTTCTGCATCCAGATTCTCAGAAAGATCTACCATAGTACGCTACTCGGAGCACTGGCTACTTCGGCAGTCGCCGTCGAGCCGACTGCATTGTACAAGGAGGCTACAATTCTGGTACCGATGTGAAGCTTCGCATTGGGAATGGTGGTGCTGGGCAGAGTGGACTTATTGAGGGTTAGTAGATGCTACGAAGTCGCCCATTGCAATTCCTAGTTGACTAACCCATCATCTTGCCACAGCCCTGGCAGATACTTTCATCAAGGCGAGCGTGGAAAACGGTTCTGCACCATTCAAGGTCGCCTGGTACAAGAGTCACACAACAGTCCATATATCACCTGAAGGACGACACTGTGGACATGGGCATTGCCCACAATCCCGCCGTCCAGTCGCTTGCCATCCGACAGCGCGTGGCCGAGGGCCCTTCCTGGTACGCCTGGCGCGACTACTCTCTGCTGGTTGGCCCTCACTTCAACCCAGTTCGACTGAACAAGACCGACGACATCTTGACCATGTTCTCCAGCCTCTACACCGCGGCCGAGAACGACAGCGCCCCTGTTCGTACCAGGTTCCTCTCACGGTATGACAAGTCCACCACCAACATCAAGGAATCCGACCTCTGGATTGGCATTGGACAGGTACGTTGCTTCAGTCCCGCTGTGGTCGCACCGATGCTCATCTCCCGGCTACTAGGTTCCATGGGCGACGACATACTCCACGTGGTACCATCAGTACATCGCTTATTATGTTCAGGCGCTGACCGCCGCCATCCTTCTGGAGGAGTACACTGTTACGGATCGCGGCACCTATCTCACAATCTCAGAGGATCTGCAGAGCCAGACGGCCATCTATAAGGCGGGGACCGACAGTTCCGGTGACCCTTTGCTCAACCCTGCCCACATCTCGTTGACAAGGGGGCCGCAAACGCCAAGATGGCGGACAGGTTTGCCCAGTGGATTCGAAGCAGTGAAGGACAGGCTGTTATTACTGGTTTCAAGAAGAACGGACGGCAGCTGTACACGGGTGCCCCGGCTAACAAGACTGCCCATTTTGAAGACCTTTGCCGATGAAGGGAGTACTTAGAAGGGGTTATACATGCTCAAGTGATTATGAAGCTAGTAATCGTAAGGCTACACGCTTAGACGGTTCTCAAACGTTTGTTGTATCCAGTATGTTGAGCAATATTCAGCATACTCCAGTTGTGGTCGGTGATATTTGCTCCTCTGCTAAGTCAAGCAGGTACACCGACTAGCCTGGAGGTATGACACTGCCGGTCTGAGTAACACATTCACTCCTCCAGCCTCCCTCCGCCTCCTGTCCAAACCTCCTCTCGTCACCATCCTCTGCTCATATCTATCCTTCTCGCACACCCCATCTGACCAATTCATCCCTCTTCGTTCTTCGCATCTTCCACATAGTCCAACTGACCTTCTCACAACGCTCATGATCCTCAAGACCCTTCTCGTCCTGCTCCTGGCTGGGCTCGTTGCCGCCCAGGCGACCGTGACCGATATGTTCATTGGAATCATGGAACCGCAGACCGAAGGCCTCGTCGCGTCCGTCGTGGGCGAAGTGAGTCCCTTTGTTTCCCGTGCCCACCTATCCACCGATATGCTAACTCCCCTTATCCCAGAACGCGGACGAAACCACCTACTTCGTTACCTGCGTGACCCCCCAGCAAACGACCCCGGTGACATCGGGATGCAGCCTGGCCGCCGGCGTGACCGTCATAGCCGAGCCATCCACGACCCAGGTCTTCAGCACCGCCACGAGGGACGATTTGTGAGTCTTGCCTGGCTGGCTGACTGTCTACCTATCTTCACACACTCTGTCTAACCCGCCGACCAAAAGCATCGGCTACGAATCCATCATCTGCGCCTTCGACAACTCGCCCCTGGTCACCTGCACCCAGACCACCCACATCCAGGGGTCCCCGATGCACGCATACCACGAAACGTGGAGTGCGATCGACCAAGCCGCCGGCTACGCCCTCGTCACCCAGAACCTCACGCGCTTCCCGGTGACCATCATCGCTACCGCTGGTGGCGCCGTGACGGCTACGGCTACGGCTACGGCTACGGCGACCACCGACGAGGTCTTCACGCTGTTCAGCTCGTCGGTCCCCACGGCCACCGTGACGGTTCCCCACGCGGCGGGGCCTTCGGGCTCGAGTGCCAAGAACCATACTTCGGGGGGTGGAATGACTACTGGGACTGCTGGTGGTACGGGTACTGGCTCGGCGAACGGGACGGGGCACGCCACGTCGACCAACGCGGTGACCTCGTCGAAGAGCCAGGGTGCCGGGCCTTTGATCACCGGGGAGGCGATGGTGGTGGCGGGCGTTGCGGCTGTTGCGCTTGCTGCTGCTGTTGTTTTGTGAGAGTCGTTGAGGGCTACTGTAGGGATGGATCTTCGTTCGGAGGTTGCGCTTGCAGACGGTTGTTTATGTTAGTGAGACTATGATGTAATTGGAGAATAATTTGAAGGCATGGATTTGCCGGTTATGAAGTAAAAGCAGTTCCCGGTAGTCTTTGACTATGATATGCGGCTGATATATGTGTAGCATTGTTGGAACAGTGGAGTTTTCAACGTGGCCGGTTCTATTTCGACCACCTCCAAGAGGATTACTAGAGCACCCAGTAGTTCAGAAGAACCCCTTCATCCTTTTTCCTTCGGAGTCAATCTGCTTGTAGTATCTCACCCTACTACTCTTCGCCTACAATTTTCTCCATCAATTGACGCGGTACTTTGTGCTGTTGGTATCAGTCTTACCTTGCTCAAGACACAGTTCGCTCAAAGGATTAGTGTTTGGATCTAGAAGCATATGATACAGGTTCAGATCATATTGCCTCACGAATAGTTCAGTGCAGATACAGTCCGTAGGCATAGGAATCATCTTTCATTGGTCTAGACCATAAAAGTCAAGGCATGAGAATTTCCTTTCAGCAGATAATCATCACGTCAATCCCGCATGTATCGTGCTAGAATAGGAAGTCGAGCCACAGCGCGGCGCCTTTTCCAGCAAAGCAACCGCCACGTCAAACTCCTTCGATTAAGATAAAAGAGTGGTTGAATTCCCGATACTACATCGTGCATAAGCTTGGCTTTAGCGCATACTCGACCATATAAATAGCCAGAGATAAGAAAACTGAAAAATATATCGCCATCAGAATCACCATCGCAGATAGTAATCCGGCCAAGTCGCAAGAAAAAGATATTCTCCGTCAACTGAATAGTACAGAGTCGAAGACCAAGTCTCATCCTGGCAGCGCCAGCATCCCACCGATATTAGATAAATTTATAATCCCCGAATCTAACAATAAACACCAATATTCTATCACACCCGTTGGAATGATGAGCCTAGCCGAGACCAAAAATACTTCATCAATTCGACTGTTACAATTACTGGTGGCCAGAGCTTTCGCTGCCCAGCTGGTCTTAGCAGTAGCATATCTTCATTCGCGAGATATTGTCCACGCTGGTCAGTCCACAAATATAGTTCCCCTCTCCATCTGACAGAGTTAGTAGGCTAATCAATATATTATCAGACCTTCATCCTGGCAATATCTTGGGTCTTCTTCCCAGAAACATGGATCCGCTCTCACGAGAGCAACTTTACGAAAAATATGGACAACCCCATCACGAGCCAGTCATCTGTTTAGAGGAGGCGCGTCCACATCCCGACGGGGTCCCCGCAAATGCTGTCGTGCCCATCTGGCTGGGGAAAGCAAGCGAATGTGTGTCTCTGGCTGAGGCTCACATACTTGTCACTGACTATGGGGAGTCTTTCATGCCAGCCACGATAATGCGCCATCATTCCAACACCCCCCATACGCTCATTCCTCCAGAGATTCACTTCGAACCCGAAGAGTCAAGACAGACAAGCTGCGCCATTCTGGAGATATCCTCTAGATTGCCTTGTTCTAAGGTAGCTCGCTCACCATGGATCCAGGATATCACTGGCAAGTACTACTTTGACCATGGCCGGAAATACTATTTGTTCGCGGTCAGGTGACCAGCACTGGGCACTGCACTGCAACTTAACGCCGATTCCCGATCGGGGTTCGGCCGCAACATGCCAGGTGCCCGTATAGTCGGGATAGGACCGCAGTCCCGGATCATCACATCGCCATCGCGACCAACGTCAATTACTGCCGCGGTTGCGCACAACAAGGAATCTTCGCAGCAATGTTGCGGTTTTCTATAAATCTCCGACGCACTACTGAGTCTTGCGACGACCAAACGTGAACACCATGTCCTCTCCACCAATCCAGCCCGACTTCGCCGATCGAACCGACTTCGAGAATGCCACCCGAGGCTGCGTTGCCGGTCTCGAGCCGTGCATCATCCGCAGCTCGGACGGGCGGATTGTCTACAACAATGAGGCGTACGCCTTCCTACGCGACTCCGAATGCCCGGAGACGGCCAGTCCGAAGCTCTGGCGCCAGGGTCAACTGGCCTCCGTGCAGGGACTCTTCGAAGTGACGCAAGGGATCTACCAAGTTCGCGGGTTCGATTTGGCGAATATGACCATCGTCGAGGGCCACAAGGGCGTGATCGTCATCGATCCTCTGACCTCGGTGGAATGCGCCCACGCCGCGTTGACTTGTTATCGGAGCCACCGCGGGGACCGACCGGTGACCGGGGTGATCTACTCACACTCGCACATCGACCATTTCGGCGGCGCTCGCGGGGTCGTCCCGTCGCCAGATGAGGCGAGGACGTTGCCTATCCTCGCGCCCGAGGGGTTCATGGAGGAAGCGACGAGCGAGAACATCTATGTGGGAGCGGCGATGCGTCGGCGGGCGACCTTCATGTACGGGACGCGGCTGCCCAAGAGCGCCGAGGGACAGATTGGCTGCGGCATTGGGATGGCGGTGTCAACGGGAACGCCCTCGCTGATCCCGCCGAACCAGCACATCACCGCAACCGGGGAGGAGAGGGTCGTCGATGGGGTGCGCATCCGCTTCCAGCTCGTCCCGGAGACGGAGGCGCCGGCGGAGATGAACTTCTTCTTCCCGGATCGTCGGGCGCTGTACATCGCGGAGTGCGCCACGCATTCCTTGCATAACATCATCACCCTGAGGGGGGCGCTGGTCCGGGATGCGAAGGCATGGGCGCGGTACCTGGACGAGTCGCTTGTCTTGTTCGGGGAGCAATCCGACGTGTTGTGCGCGGGTCACAACTGGCCGACCTGGGGTCGGGAGGAGATCCAGCAACTGATCGCGGAGCAACGAGATTTGTATGGATATCTCCATGATCAGACTGTCCGGATGATGAATACGGGTCTGACGGGGGTCGAGATCGCCGAGACCCTGGCTCTCCCACCCGCGCTGCAGCGGGCCTGGCACGCGCAAGGATTTTACGGGTCCGTCAGCCACAATGTCAAAGGTATCTATCAGCGTTACATGGGGTGGTTCGACGGCAACCCGGCCCATCTCTGGGAGCATCCGCCCGTGGAAAATGCAAGACGTTATGTCGACTGCATGGGCGGCATCGAGGCGGTGGTTCAGAAAGCTGAGACGTACGCGCGGGAGGGAGATCTTCGTTTCGCCGCTACGCTCTTGGGACATGCGGTCGCGCTGGATCCGACACAGGAACAGGCCCGATTGGCTTTGGCTTCCGTGTTCGAGCGCCTCGGTTACAGCGCGGAGAACTCGACGTGGAGGAACTTCTACCTCACCGGGGCGCTGGACCTCCGCCAGGGAGGAGGCGATTCCCAGCGCCACAGTCCGGGGCTGGCGGCTCGGGAGCTAAACCCCCATCAGTCGGTGGAGCAGTGGCTCAGTCTACTCTCCGTCCGACTCCACGGGCCTCGGGCTGCGACGGAGTCCTTTATCATGGATTTTCACGTGAAAAACACGGGGAGCTGGTGGAGGTTGATTGTGAGCAACGGCGTGTTGACCAGCCGGGTCACTACCGAACCAGCGAAACCAGAGGCTGCTGGTTTTACAATGTTTGTCACAAAGCAGCAGCTGGGCGCAGTTCTTAGCGGCAAAGATCTTGGGGAGCTGAACTACGAAGGGGAGCTTCAATTGCTGTCGAGGTTCTTGGATTTGACAGCATAAGAAGGCCATGCAAGTGGGACTATATGGCCAGCATTCAATGGACATGCTCGGAGTGTCAACTGAAAGCTCCTCCGGCGGTGTAGTCCGTACTTCGTCAGAAGTCATGCAAATCCCGAGTTTATGCCGCAAGGGCAAGACCAATACAATAGTGCTGGCCAATAGGCGAAGATTGAATTGTCCCGTGTCTCGACAAGCCCTAAGACGAGATGCAGACGGCATGCAGACGGCCGAGAAGAAAAAATAAGAAAGATACGAGTCGAAAATTGGCGACTCGCTAAAAATTGTTGAGGAAGAAAAAACGTTGAAACTAAAAACTACCAAAAAAACCTTAAGGCAGAAAACGCGAGGCTAAACTGAAAAGGGATTGGGGGCATGCGAGGGCGGTGGAGGAGGATGGATGGCCTTCCATTGCAGGCTTGCATCCCTTGCTTCTGGTCTATCTATAAGTAGCCCGCAAATCTATCACATTCAGGGGACAGCCTGGAGGGGTTAATTGAGTTCCCCTTTTGCATGGAATTTCCAGAGCTTATCGATAACCCCGGCTTGAACAAGGAAAATATCCCTGTTTTCTCGCAGAGTCGTCCCCAAATCTAAGTTTTCTCCAGATCCGATTCCCCTTTGAAACTGTTGGGAATCCGACCTCCACAGTGTGCACGGGCAAAATCCGTGGGAGGGCCTCGAATTAGACCGGCGGAGCAAACCACGACACGCCGTTTCTGCGATGGCTCAGTCTCAGAAAGGAATGCAGCCACTCAGGGGGCGCCCAGATATTGACAGTTAGCGTGGATACAGAATCTGACACTGTTCCGTGGTTCCACCGGAGCTTTCTCATAGGTGTGGCGAGAGGCCTTCCAGAAGAAGCCAGGAACACGATGCGCCTAATTGGGTCTCCTCAGTGGCCGCTGATCACTGACCCTATTCATTATGGGTTTCCTACAAAAATTCGGAAAGCTGCACACGGCTTTTCTTTCGCACAATTCAATTCCCTCTGGGTGAAATTTGGTGGGATTGATTCATAGTCTGCAAAGATGACTTTGACCGAATTGCGCAAGAAGGAGCCTATTGTGACGGTGGTGGTATGTTTGACCAAAGTGTATGCTTCCGAAAAGAAAAAGAAAACCATTGACACTGTTCGCAGGAAGTCGAAGATGACACCGTTCCCAATCTGAAAGACCTCAAAGATGCCATTCCCAAGGAATGCTTCGACTCCTCGGCCGTCACCTCCCTCCTCTACGTTGCCCGTGACATCCTCTACTGCGCTATCCTGACCTACGCTGCCTTCCACATCTACCTCCTCCCTACATTGGAGCTGCGAATAATTGCCTGGGCTGTCTATGGCTTCTTCCAGGGCTGTGTTGGCACGGGACTGTGGATCTTGGCCCATGAGTGCGGCCATGGTGCTTTCTCCCGCCACCAGAAGCTGAACGACTTCGTCGGCTGGGCTCTTCACTCTTTCTTGATGGTGCCTTACTTCTCCTGGAAGATCACCCATGCTCGCCACCACCGCTATACCGGTCACATGGAGAAGGATACCGTCTTCGTGCCCTGGACCGACTCGCAGTTGGCCAAGAAGAAGAACGTGCGCATCGAGCAGTTGAAGCACTTGACTGAGGAGACCCCGATCGTCTCTTTCGTCCAGCTCATCGGTCACCAGCTCATGGGCTGGCAGCTGTACCTGTTCCTCAACGTCACCGCTGGCCCGAAGAGTTTGCCTGAGAACCGTCCTCTGAAGGGCATCTCCAGCCACTTCAACCCCTTCGGCCCTATCTTCACTCGCGCTCAGTGGGTCAGTATTGCGCTGTCTGACTTGGGTCTGCTCATCATGGGATCTGTTCTGTACTATGCCTCTACCCAGATCGGAGGCTGGAACGTTGTTCTCCTATACGTGATCCCGTACCTCTGGGTTCACCACTGGTTGAGTGAGTACACCTTATAATGTGTCCGATCAATCCAGCACACTGACAGTACTAGTTGCCATCACGTACCTCCAGCACACCCACCCTGCCGTTCCTCACTACAGTGCCGAGACCTGGACCTACACCAAGGGCGCTCTGGCCACCATCGACCGCAGCATTGGCTTCATCGGCCGCCACTTCTTCCACGAGATCATTGACTATCACGTTGTTCACCACCTGTTCAGCCGCATTCCCTTCTACCACGCGGAGAAGGCTACCAAGGCCATCCAGCCCATGCTCGGCGCCAACTACCACGAGGAGAAGCAGGAGAGCTTCTTGTACTCTCTCATGACGACTTTCAGAAAGTGCATCTATGTGTCCGACAAAGGAAGTGGCAAGAGCGAGGCGCCTGGTGTCTTCCACTTTGTCCTCGCCGATGAGAGAAAATAGTTCAGAGTTGGATCTGTCTGTTCGATGATGCGCCTAAATCCTCATCGCGCGTCATGATTCTCCTAGATATACATCTGTATATAGATAGACTGATAGACTATAGAATGGCATCTGGGAACATTTGCCGAATTTAGAACTCATACTCTACTCTAGCGTCGAATGGCTTGCTACAACTACTCTCAGTCTATTGTAGTTAATTCCACCTCTGAATTGCACTTCCGCCGTGCGGACGAATAGCACGGCTACAATAGGAATAGGAATACTGCCTTGCTGACTATCTGACTTGACCAGAACCAAAGCTCATTGAGATCCTGGCACTAATCATGCTCCTAAAGCGAGCTTTTTGCTGATGCTGGGCAGTCGCCGATTGCCTAGAGCTCCGGGCGGTCAGCGGCTATTTCCCTGCGGAGATGAGACTGAAGCCACCACCCCGCGGCAAACTACCTAGGCAGCCCCCTCCAACCCAGAGAAAACATCCATCAGTTTGAGCAGTGGCTCCCACCTGACATCTTTCTGGATTTCGATCTTACCCTCTGCAGTCATCACCTTATACTCATCCGCGACGTGTGTGCCATAGGAGTAACCCGCCTCGTTGTTCACGAAAGCAGCCAGGTCCCGGATCCAAGTATCCAGCAACACTTTCTCCTCCGGGGTCGGGCCGTGCATTATCGAGTAGCTAACTCGGTCAACAAGACGTGACTGCACGAGTGAGGGAAAGACTTACTTCCAGATCGGCCTGTCCATCGCATGGCTGACTCCGAACGACGCCGGGGCGACCTTCTCCGTGATGAACGACAGCCGGTAGGCAATCAGATAGCGCCAGACGTCGTCGACACCCACGCCGTGGTCCAGCAAATTCTTGACCAGGAACCGTGACGGCGCCCGCACCTGGCCATCGGCAATGAGATTCCCGAACACCGCCTGCCACTCTTCCCTCTGCTCCGTCGGAGGCAGCTCATAATACCGCAGCAACCTCTCCGTCGTGGCCGGCGCATAATAATTCTCCACCTGCTGCCGGAACGACTCCCGATTGGGCTCGGGGCTGTTCGTCACCGCGTAGAGGGTGTTCTCGTCGCGCACCTCGCCGATGAACAGGCGCAGACCCCGTCTCTTGAACTCGGCCGCGAACGAGCCGTCCCGGAAGTACCCGAAGATCCCCGGTTGGATGAAGACGCCGTCCGTGACCGCTCGGAAGGTGTGATGCTCGAGGGTCATGATGGCGTCGCACAGCGCCGTGGCCTCGATCCCGCGCAGGCGCGCCAGCTTCTCCTCGCCGGAGACCTCCGCCCCGATGCCGAAGTACGTGCACACCTCATCGAACTGCGCCTGGCAGTCCTCGGGGGTCTTGGGCTGGGTCGGGATGGCGTTGGAGTACATGACCAGCCGCCGAAAGCGATCCCGCGACCGGGCGTCGATCACGTCGGTCCCCGCGCGGAAGTCGAACAACACCTGCGCCTGCACCGCGTACGCCCCGGCGCTCCGCCCGGACAGGATGAGGTTCTCCGGATCGCCCCCGAAGTGCTTGATGTTGTTGTGCACCCACTCAATCGCCAGCCGTTGGTCCCAGAGACCGTAGTTTCCGACCTCCCGGCCGCCGGATTCCTGGCGCAGGGCGTCCCCGGCCAGGAAGCCGAAGATGTTGAGACGGTACCCCACCGCGACGAAGACGCAGTTTAGACCTCCTGTGGAGATGAGCTCGGTCGGATCCATGCCGAATTCCTGGCTGGGGTCCCCGACCTGGAACCACCCGCCGTGGAACCAGATCATCACCGGGTGCTTCTTGTTCGGGGTTGCGGGGTCGGGCACGGGCGTCCAGATGTTCAGGCGAAGGCAATCTTCGCTGTAGGTGTGGATTGGAACGTGCTCGCTGACCGACTTGGAGTAGTTGGCTTGTGGACAGACGGGGCCAAAGATGGTGGCGTCGAAGGTTGATGATTCTTGGGCTAATTGCGACAGGGACAAGGGCTGGGGTTTACGCCAGCGCAGAGGTCCCACTGGTGGTTTGGCGTAGGGGATACCGGTGAAACGCCGGAACTGCGTGCCATTTTGCAGGCCCTTGATTGTCAGTTCGGTGTTGGGGATGGGGAGATGGGTTTCGCTCGTGGTGTAGGAGATGTTGTTGCCCATGGTTGCAGCCGGGGACGATGAGTCTGAGTCTGGAACTTCGAAGAGACGACGCGGTGCTGCAATGGAGAAGGCAATGCATGGATATATGGCAGTCGACCCCTCGATTACTGCAATGGTGCTTTCATGTCGTGATGATATCCCTGCGGGCAGTAATGTCATTGGTTGGATTAGTCGAGCATGGCGCCGGGATCGGATCGGATCCCGGAACTCGATTCTGTGAGAACTGCACTGGTGCTTTGGTGCTTTGCAGGGAGTGCAGGGGATGCTTAGGGTGAGATGTCAACAGCGATGGTCCTCCTGTTTCACCTCATGCTGGCATGCATGGTGTCATGGATGTGAAACCATGGGCTAGGCAACCATGTGTGCCACCAGCAGTCTGCAAAGCGAAAGTTAACCGACCCAAGGGATGCGCACACGTGATGGGATTCACACCTTGGTGCCTGAGGCGATAACTCAGAGCCTTCTTCCCCCAACTCGGTGAAAAGGAAACGAATACGATTCACGTACAGGGCTCCTCCCGCCACTGCATGCATGCCTCGCCATGGACGAGTCAGGTTCAACACGAGTACGCTCTCGGCGATCGCACAATAAATCTCGCTTGGGATGTCAGAATTGCAAGCGAAGACGAGTGAAGGTGCGTTGTCTCTCCTGCTCTACGCTGTCGCCTCCTGGTGTGTCCACGAGAATTGGTCTACAAGATGGGCATTGCTGCGATGCACTTGTTCGCTTGCTTCATCCCTGAAAGGCTGCTGGTGCGCGCAAGGGCTAAGTACTCGCAGTGTGATGAGAAAAAGCCCGCGTGCGGTCCCTGTGTGCGCCACTCCATCGACTGCGACTTCATCCTCCCGGCTGCCGCTCCGTCCGCCTCAAGCACCACCACGCGGCAGTATCGCTTTCGGCGATCGAGGTACCAACATGCGACCCAGACAGAATCATCTACAGCATCCAGATCCGGCTCGGAGGCTCGAGGGTCGGGGCCGGTGTCGACCGGAACCCAATGTGACCTCGCCGCCAGCCAGCCGCCCGGCGGGATCTCGTTCGCGGATCTCAAACTGTATCACCACTACATGACCACTACTTACAAGACGCTGGCGGACGAGAAAGGGGACACGCATGGTGTCTGGTCCAACCACGTGCCACGCTGGGGGATCTCCTTTCCCTCCATCCTGCATCTCATTCTCTCGCTGTCGGCGCTTCATCTGGCGGCCGAGAACCCCGACTCACGGGCCGAGTACCTCGCCCAGGCGGACGACCACTTCACCTTTGGGGTGCGGTCGGTAACCGCGGTGCTGGCGCTGCTGAACTCGGAGAATTGCCAGCTGATCTACATGTCGGCGGCGTTGATCTGCCTGGCCTACTTTGGCCGGGGGCCCCGCATCGGCGAATACCTTGTGTTTAGTCAGAGCGGTCAGTCCGAGTGGCTGGTGTTGCTCCGCGGGGTGCGATCCATTCTGACCACCAACCACGAACGCATCTTCACGGGGGTGTTGACCCCGGTCCCCGACGACAGTATCAAGGAGGTCAGTCCGGCACTGCAGACGGAACTGGACCGGCATCTGTCGCAGATCCAGGCCCTGCGGTCCTGGATCACGTCGCAGGTGAGTGATGTCGCCGTCTGCGAGGTCTATACAGCCTCGATCGAGGATTTGATGTCCATTCTCCGAGAAGCATACGCATTCCGCAGCGCCGGCAAGGACGGAATCCATCTGATGCATCTGGCTATGGGGTGGATCTATCGGGCGCGAGAGGAGATGATTGCGTTGTTAGAGGCGAGAGATCCGTATGCGCTGGTGGTGTATGCGCATTGGAGCATCATACTCCGGTATATGCAGTCGTGTTGGCTGATGAGGGGGTGGGATGAGCATGTTGTTGGGGGAGTGAGGGCGTTGTTGCCGGTGGAGTTGCAGGGATGGATCGAGTACCCGCTGAGTGTGGTTGCTGGTGGTGTTTCTTAGTGCTCTATATAGACAATTTGTTTTGGGTTCTTTTCTTCTTCTTGGGTCTCGCGCATCGTGTCTCTTGGCCATCGCGTCATTCGAGTACGCCCCGTGTCTATACCTGTCGCAGCACCTTGATCATTGTTGCTATAATTGTTTTGTCCGGCACCCCACCCCGTCGGCTCTTGAGTCCAATGAGGTGAATGCATCTGCGCCTCCATCCCTTGTGGCGGCCATCGACTGAAGGATTTTGTTATCAGATCCTCAATGATTATGCTGATTATGTGAGAAGCCGGTGAAGCTGACAAATTGTCAAGGGGTCGATCCGGACATTGAGGGTAGGAGATGGCGGAATCAGCAGAGCAGTTAGTGCGACGGACTCGGATGTTTCCTGAGTCCGAGGCCTCCGTTAATTCAGTGCATCCGTCGGACCTGCTACGGACATCCACCTCTGCCTCAGGCAGCAGCCATCGGCCTTTAAGTTTTTCTCCAAGTCTAACCGAGCCTGGTAGGCTGGCCACCATTGGATAATCTACAAATCTACAAATAACGATTCTATCGATGCCTATGCGCCAATTCACCTCCTTTCAGTTCTGTCTGCACTTCCATGTGGGGAGATCGGATGTCTGGAAGGTTCCACCTGCGGGATCCTGCCTGAGTGTGGAGGGGTTGTCAGTCAGCGATGACCAAGGAAAAACCCAGTTCCAGCATGGGATGATTCCGCGATTTGATAAGCATTGAATAAGGTGGGGCTGGGGTGCATAATCCGTGGGATCAGGGGGGGCATTCCGGACAGGCACACAATTCTCGGCTGGAATTACGGCAGAAAACTAGAGGATGTGGTGGCGGTCGCCCGGTTGATCGCCTATATAGTTGTGGAAGAGTCGTCGCTGCTCCATTCATTTTCCTCTCAACACAATCATCAATCACTCACAGCGCTCTTGATACCATTCAATTTTTTTTTTCTTTTTAAACCCGATCAACCGCCACAATGACCGCCGCTGAGTTCAAGAACCCCGCCACTACCGCCATCCTGGAGGCGGCCAAGGCCCGCCGCTCCATCTACACCCTCAAGGCCGAGAGCCCCATCGCCGACGAGGCCATCGAGCAGCTCGTCCAGCAAGCCGTCCTCCACGTCCCCAGCTCCTTCAACACCCAGACCGGCCGCATTGTGCTGCTGCTGAAGGAGGAGCACCAGAAGCTGTGGGACATCGCCATCAGCGCCCTCGAGGGGCTGGTCGCCGCCGGCCAGGTCCCCAAGGAGACCTTTGAGAACCAGACCAAGCCCAAGCTGAACGCCTTCCGCAACGGCTACGGCACTGTACGCCTCCCCTAGGATCTTACTAGCTGTGTGCAGCTTCCTAACCCCGGCAGGTCCTGTTCTTCGTCGACTACGACTCCCTGGCCCCCATCAAGGAGAAGTTCGCCATCTACGCCGACAACTTCAACCCCTGGGCGCTCGAGTCCAACGCCATGGCCCAGTACCTGAGTATGTTCTCCTGCTTCATTTTCCTTCAAGGGCCTCGCTAACAGCCATCCAGTCTGGACCGCCCTCGAGTCCGAGGGCTTCGGCGCCAACCTCCAGCACTACAGCCCCCTGATCGACGAGCAGGTCGCCAAGCAGTGGAACCTCCCCGCCTCCTGGAAGCTCGATGCCCAGCTGGTCTTCGGTACTCCGACCGCCCCGGCCGGCGAGAAGGCCTTCGCGCCGCTGGAGGACCGCTTCAAGGTCTTCGGCAAGTAAACGGGCCGCGCAGCAGCTTGGGCTGATGGGCTATTTGAGCGGGCATTGCATTTGGATAGAGTTTGATACCTAGAATTGATTGCATTTACATTATTAGATGTTTGTGTAGGTTGGAAGAAATGGATCACCACTGTAGATGTATATGTACATTCTGGGCCAGCAGCGATGGGATTGTACGTAGTTGGAAGACCCACTATGCTCGCTGTAAGGCTGACTGGCCGTGATTAGCTTTGGAGGGTCCCTAATGGTTGTCAGCATTTAGTTATTCGTATACCGGGTTATACTCCTAGGGGACTATAATTCGCGGCGGATGGCTTGTCTTACAGCTAGACTCGGGGATCGCTCGTGAGGCGAGTTGCAAGATAGGGCGACGGTGTAGCATAGACTTCAATCTGGGACAAATGCGATAAGATCTGGTCAGGTGAAGCTCGTCGCAAGACAAGTGCTTCTCCTTTCACCCGAATTCATCAAATGCCCAGTTCATACCCCTCAGCAGCTTCAGTCTACGTGTCCACAGCACTATTGACACATGTAGAACAAGAAAATATACCCGTCTCCATGAACAGTTTTATACAGTATTCACTGAACCCTCATGAACGAACATTAACACTATACTCGCCTGACCAACTCACCCTCAAGCGCAAACACCAAGACCCATCACAAGACCCCTCGCCTCATCCCTCCACACCCACATCCACATTCACCTCCCCCTCTCCTCCCCACATCCCTCCACATACTCCATCCACACTCTCCACATGCACAGTGACATAATACCATGCACAAGACATGCATAAAAATATCCACTCAACCCCTCCTCCCACCCCCTCCGACAGCAATCACCACCACAGGTACGGAGAACCATCCACTGAGCTTCAAACCATACCCTAGGGCCTCCACCAAACAACTCTGGAGACATCCAGTCGAAGATAATGCGCCCACCCACACCAACCCCCTGAACCCCACCCGCTAACCGCCCTGCATGGTGCAAGATACCATGTCCCGCGCTGGCCACTGCATCCACCGTCGCCATTCATTGGAATAAGCAGTGTAGATGCAATCATGGTCCGACGAGGGGATATCTTGTCCGTGTCGCCGGGTTTACGGAGTAGAATAGCGTGCTTGATATTGTCTGGCCGTCTTCCTGGCGCGTGCACAGCGCCGCTGTGTGCTGTCAGGGCGGGTGTGGAGTGGACCATCCCTGGTGAGTATCTCAGCCCTATGAACCATACCATACACCATTCTGTGGGTAGTAGCTGTAGCAGCAGCGGGGTCAATTCGAGTGTGTGGACGGGATGTGGAGGGTATACGGATACGGATACGGATCCTGCGGTGAGGGAGGTTGTGTTGGGGTATTTCGTGATGAGGGATTGAGGGTTGGGTTGCGATGGATGGGCTGGGTGCTCTAGACTAGGCTCAGCTGGGGTACTAGGTAGTTATCTGGGTGCTTGGGGGTGGAGTGGGAGTGTTCTGGGGCTTGTTGGGGGTATGTTTGGGGTTGATTATGGGTAGGTGCAGTGGTTGCTTGGGCTGGGGTTGTTGGATTGTATGAGGTGTGGATTTTAATCGGGTTTGGATGGGGTTGGGTTGGGGCGTATTGGATCTTTTCTGCTTGTCGGGGCTGATGGAAGAGGTCCTGGGAAGGGGACGCTCTTCCTTTGGCCACTTAGTGTGACGATCCTGAAGCTTTGTTGAGGGGTCGAGGATTGGATGTAGGGTTCGCGGTCGGATTGACCACGATGAAGCATAAGCGGGCGTTGATATGCGTAGATGGATCTTTTGCGCGGTAGATAGAAGTGTTTGTTTGGATTATGTGATGTTGAGATATGATCTAGCTGGTCTGGGAGAGTACTTTGCATGCAATCTGAATGCTTCATGTATCCAGTGAAAGAGTATCTTCTTCTGGAAGCGAGATATGTCCCCTTATCTTACTATATCAACAGCCCACAAGTTCAACGAACTCATTTGCCCGGGCGGAAAACCCCTCATACCCAGCGGGAACCCCCCCACCCCGGGCCGCTGTCGGGGTCGGAAAGCTTGGTGGGAGGAGACTTGATCCGCCAACTGGGCCCCGTGCGGCTGATCCCATCACAACACAACAACCAGCCTGACAATCCGACTAATATATGCACCTGTTATCACACCGCATCAGCCATATTCTCCCCTGGCCTGCTTTTGTCATGCTCTGCAATCCACAGCCACCCGCAAACAATAGTCTGACACGATGCTGACGCTGACGAGCTTATCGCCTGCAGAAAAGCGGGTCGCACACGAGTCCATGGAAATCTGACAAGCAACGCGACGAATCGATAGTCCCACCCTCCACGGAGTATACCTGAAGAAGTATAAGGCCAGTACCACTGGCAGCTGAGCCCGCTCGTATCGCTTCATTTGCCCACGGTTGGGTGGCCATTTTAGCCGATGCTGCAGCAGAGGCTGAGATGGCAACTCATGCCGACCGGGGCTGAAGTCTCGCCACGCAGAACTTATAAAGGATTCCGAGGCTTTCGCCCCAGGAAGCTCAAGGTGACCGCAAGGAGAGCCGGAAAAAAACCACCGCCACGATGAGGATCCTCTGCCTCCACGGATACGGCACCAACCCGGCCAGCATGAACCAGCAACTGGCGGGGTTGCGCCAACACGCGCCCCCGGACTGGGAGTTTGTCTTCCTGCGCGGACCGACCGAGTGCCATCCCGCCGTGGGCAAGTCACTCCTGCTGCCGCTTTGATTCTCTCGACTAACCGTGAATGCAGGCCTGGCAAAGAAGTTCCCCGGCCCGTTCAACTGCTACGCCCGGAGCATGTCCCCCGACCAGACCCGGGCCACCTACACGCTGCTCGACCACACGATCCGCACGCAGGGCCCGTTCGACGGGGTCCTGGGCTTCAGCCACGGGGCCGCCGTGGCCCTGTCGTACCTGCTGGAGGGCTTCGCGGCCGTCGGCGCCGCCCCCGCGGAGTACCCCTTCCGCTTCACCGTCTTCTTCTCGTGCATCTTCGCCTGCTCCGCCGACCGCGCCTTTGTCGAGGAACTGTACCCCGGGCTGCGGCCGGAGGAGTGGAGCAAGGTCCGCTCGTGCGACTACGCGCAGCTGGACACGTTGCCGGACCGGCTGCGCACGGTCACGACGGCCATCAGTCGCCTGCTGGACTGCGTGCATCCGATCACCCGCGAGCCGCGCGGCTTCTTCCTGGATAAGCCCGTCCAGGAGACGCCGCTGCTGCTGTACCCTCCCGTCGTGGCGGCGAGGGTCCAGATCCCGACGCTGCATGTCTGGGGCCGGAACGAGCCGAAGGGGCTGCGGGACGCGTCATCCTGGGCGATCCAGCTGTGTGAGAGCGGGGTGACGAGGTCGCTGGTGCATTCCTGTGGACATGATGTGCCGAGGTCGGCGCCGGAGTTGGAGAGGATTGTGTCGATGATGCAGGAGATGGGGGGGGAAAGGGTCAGAGCTGTGCTGTAGATAGCTTCGGGATTTGAGAGAGTAATATCTAGACACGAATAGATTTAACATTGCCCATGAAGCGCAGGGCTGGAATACCCCAGGCTGTAAGGTAGCCTAGCCCAGTGAGTAACATTATACCTGACCAGGTACCAGAGGGCAGTGCCGATACCGTACCCATAGCCAATCAGAAGCCTCATAGCCCAGCGGAAGCCATCCGAGCTCGGACCCGTGACGGGATCCGCCCGCGCGGGGACGATCCGCCGTTTTTACTCGGACCATTTCACTCGCAGCATTGAAATAAGTATCGATCCAAGTACTGTACTTGTACTCAACCCCAGTTGAACACATACACCTACTCTACTCGACAGACCACAACAAACCCAACCCCCCCAAAATGACAGACCTCCACAAAATCCCCCACACCACCCTCGCCGCCTGCGTCCACCGCATCCTCACAGCCAACGGCGTCTCCGCCGCCGACGCGACCACCATCGCCGACTGCCTGATCGCCGCCGACCTGCGCGGGGTCGACACGCACGGCAGCAACCGGATCCCGAGCTACATGGCGCGGATCCGACAGGGGGTGCTCGACCCGGGCGCGGTGCCCACCCTCACCCAGACAACGCCCGTCGCCGCGCAGGTCGACGGCCACAACGCCTTCGGGTTCGTGGCCGCGCACCTGGCCATGACGCGGGCGATCGCCATGGCCCAGGAATTCGGGGTGGGGCTCGTCTCCGTCAAGCACAGCAACCACTTCGGCATGTCGGCGTGGCTGGTGCAGCAGGCCGTCGACGCCGGCCTGATGAGCCTGGTCTTCACCAACTCCTCGCCCGCCCTGCCGGCCTGGGGCAGCCGCGAGAAACTCCTCGGCGTGTCGCCGATCGCGTGCGGCGCGCCCGCCGGCGCCGCGCCCCCTTTTATTCTCGATATGGCCCCGAGTGTCGCGGCGCGCGGCAAGATCTACAAGGCGCTCCGCCGCGGCGAGTCCATCCCCGAGGACTGGGCGCTCGATGCCGACGGCAACCGCACCACCGATCCGGCCAGGGCGCTGGACGGCGTCATGCTGCCCATGGGCGGGCCCAAGGGCTCCGCGCTCGCCATCATGATGGATGTCTTCTCCGGGGTGTTTTCGGGGAGCGCCTTCGCCGGGGATGTGACCGGTCCGTATGATCCGACCCGTGAGGCGGATGTGGGGCATTTTATTGTCGCTGTCAAGCCGGATTTGTTTGTGGGGTTGGAGGAGTTCAAGGCGCGCATGGATCATTTGTATCAGCGCGTGGTTGGTGGGGAGAAGATGCAGGGCGTGGACAGGATTTATTATCCTGGGGAGATTGAGTTGGAGATGCGCGAGAGGAGGTTGGCGGAGGGGATTCCGTTTGCGAAGGCGGAGATTGAGGCGTTGAATCGCGAGGCGGAGTTGGTCGGGGTCGAGGGGTTGACGGTGGAGTAAGTGGTAGTGGGATGCTTTAGATTGTGATGATGAATGCGAGAAGGGAATGGATTCTGGGGTGTGATTTGGATGGTTTCGGTTTATGTTCAAGAGGAATTACTTTTCTTGTCTGCTCGCGATTTGAGGGTGTTTCAGCCTGTGACTTGTCTTCAACACGCGACGACTCTGCTGTGTATCTCTTCAACAAACTCTTCACGGTTGATTCGATGGTGCTGCTGTCGCTCTACCTAAGGCGATTTCGCTGTCTGGTTCATTTGTTACCTCGGCACATGGCAAGGATTGACCCTCCTCTAGGTCCAGTGCTAGACCTGAACCCTCACAAACTCTAGTTCGCTGTTGTGAGAGGTCTACAAAGCACGATTCCTCGGATCTCCATGTATATGTATGAATGTCTGCTTCGTTAATATATGTAATATCTGTGGATATACCGTGTCGATCAAACCCCAGAGCCCCCAGTAGACCAATCGCGCCTCGAGACGGAACACGCATTCGCGATGGGTTGAGCGATTTGGCCAAGCTGTCAGTAAGCTAACAGTTGGGGTTTTGTAGTGACGGTTTTACAACCTTACCGCTTGCCATATAAGGCTGCTCTGCCGCCCTCCGCACATCAAAATGTGCCAATGGTCCTGCCCCCCCCCCCCCCCCCCCCC